TTCTAATACATAAGGACCAAAAAAAGACCGCTAGAGACAACCTCACCCCTAGTTGTATCCTCAGGCAAACTGCGTCCGCGAATGTGCGCTGTAGGTAGTTGACTCCCGGACAACTGCAGTCTAGCCGTGAAGGTTGGCCAGTCCGAAGTTGCAGTCCGGCGGTCAGGTCGCCGCGTTCGGGAGTGTCTGCGCGTAGTCAGTCATCGGCAATAAGGTCCTTTGTGGACTGGCCTTGGGAAGTGGTTGGCCGGTTGGCCAGACAGAGGGTGAGCTTGAACGGGGGGTTTTGACGTCATCCCGTGCGCACGCGTGGTATCCATGCCAGATATGCGGCCTGTCCCAGCAGCGTGCGAGGAAAGCATGACCTAGAATACGAGGTCGTTACAGATCGAAGGCAGGATTACCAGCATCGTCCACCGTGGAGACGAAGCGCAACATCATCTGTCGTCTACCTTTGCTAACGAGGGGCAAGGCAGCGAACGAGAATAAAAATCGATCGGCCAACGGCCGACAAGTAGAGTCATATATTTAATTGCTGATCAGCTTAGGATTTGACAGAGGAGAGCCAGTCTAGCGCTCCGAAACATCAGCGAAGACAATGAAGCTCCTTCTGGTGAGTACGAATATACTCTCAAACCGGAAGAAAACCTGATTGGGTTTTGGGTAGGCGGGCAGATCGAGGGTACGCTCGAGGGGTGAAACAGTATCTACGAAAGAATCGGAGCCTAAACGTCGGCTTGAACAGTTTGCATGCTCCGATAAATCTGCCTCTTCCTTCCACAATGGTGTTCTTCTTTGTAAAGCGGAAATGAGTAAAGAATACCATTTCGTCTTATTATGGGACTAACCTTGTAAAGAATGCAAATAAAAATTGGCAGTATCTGACGCCAAAATAATTTTCAGTCTTTGGTCAGCACTCAAAGAGAGGTTAAAGGTTTTATCTCAAACCGTTAGGCACCCGCTTATCCAGTTGTCGTTACTTGTGTTATTTCGCGCTCAACGTAAATTGGACAAATCAGCTTTCAACATGTGTCATTCATAACCTCGGGAAAACACTTCACTATAAGCAATCTAACGAAATTGAAGCTATCACGGTGCGCTAAAAGCCGCAGGTTGGAGGGTTGCCAACTGACGCGATCACTCGGACCGTGTGATCCGCCCATCGTGTTATGTGGAGTCGCTGACTGGCGGACTGGGAGTCAGGCCGCAATGGCTCCTTAGTCATGGGGCCTGTATGGTACTCCTGTGGGATACGATGTGGTCCGCCAGATAATAGACGATGAAACATATCCCAACATTTATAAGCTAGTGGAATAGAATAAGGCGTGGAAGGTCATAGTGTCAGGGAGAATTTACTAAGGTA